TTTTTTTTGGCCTGGCAAGTCTTACACCTCCACCTTACCCCATTCCCTCCCCCACCCCCAATACCGGCAAGATTTAAGCAGATGGAGGAATTCATCCATACAGGCCTTAACTGACTGTCCAAATAACGCAAATAGGTTGGTAATTTCGAACAACACAAATCAAATCATTTCAAAATAAAAATGTGGAATATTTCCTATTGGCTTAAACTTGGAGACAGTTTTGAAGCGTCGTATGTCTGTTCGCGAGCTCATTATTAATATTTTGTGATCCCACGGTTTCTTATTTTCTACAATAAGACGTGCCATAATCACGAGGGATCATAGAATTATTTATATAAATCCCGAATTTGGGATTGATATTTCCGGTTCAGAGTATTTCTTTCACAAAAAGCCCCACAATGCAGGCCTTTTTGGATAGAGGCAGGCGGCTACATTCATATGAGCGCATAGCTTTACTACTACTAGGGGGGGTATCTTCGGGAAAAGGCGAATAAAAAAGTTCATAAAATTGAAACGAAAAGTGATCGATCTGTCCATAATCTTGAATTTCCAAATAAAAATGAAGGCCAACCTCTTCGCGAGGTTCAAGAGTCAGCGCTATTTCGGTCTATGGGCGCGTATTTGGTGTAATGCAACCATAAGACTCAGTGGGTCCGAGTTGACTCAAGGTGGGTCCGAGTTGGCGTGGGTCCGAGTTGGTTGTGGGTCCGAGATGGTCGTGGGTCCGAGTTAGTATTGGGTCCAAGTTGGCGTGGGTCCGAGTTGGTCCTGGGTCCGAGTTGGAATGGGTCCGAGTTGGTTTGGGTCCGAGTTGACCTGATCCCGAAACCAAATTAAGCAATAGCGCAGATTTCTTTGAAATTAAGTTACATTTATAGGGTACTATATCACTCAAACAGACATAAGCTTAACACCACAGATTTAGAAAGTACCTAACAAAAGAGAAATCTCTGAGTACTTACCTTCATTTTTGTGTGTCTCGGAATTCGTCTTGAATCTTCTGCGCAACATGGACGTGCATGGGCTACGCAAACTGTTCACTTTTTGTCGCATGGTGGCGCTATATCTTTTAATACATGTAATACCGATAAACCCCCAAAATAGATAAAATTATTTCAAAAACACAACAATTCCCGTTTTGGAAGGGTTGCAGGAATAAAATCCATATTGGAAAATTTCTTTTTGACAAAAAATGAGTTTTTATTCAGTGTTATCTAAAAATGATTACCTGTATGAGCTCGTGTCTTTTAAGGAACTGGAAATGCTTTAATCTAATTTTGTTTGCGCAGGCCATGTCAATGAGATGAGTAAATTGTCTAACTAATGATGTGATTATCAACAACATCACGCAGGGCCAGGCCAGTCGATTGGAAACACAGTCACTGTGGAATCTTTTCACATTATAAAAGATTTACAGAAGAAGGAACGAATGAACACAAAACAGTAAGATGTTCTGATCTCGGAAAAATGTAATTATACAATAAAATAAAATACTGATAATGACAAGACTTACCTGTGAAAATACCATGCACTGTTATGACAGGTGGTAAAATAGGTTTCAAGTAATTCGATCGAAAAATTCAATCGAAAGACAGACATTCTTTTATTCGCAAAACATCAGCCAGACTGAATACTTTTCAAATCCTGAATGTTGGCCAAACCTTGATTCTTAATTTTTTGGGAGAGTAAACATTTATAAACGAATGCAAGAAACTATTACGAAAACGATTGCAGTTAATGCCTATATTTAATGCAAAATGGAAAGTTTATATAAGCAACTTCATTATCTCAAATTTATTGGCATGGAAATCTTCTTGAATTAAGTCATTTGTAAACAGGAAATGGATTTCCGATATTCTTATCAAAGTCATTGTACATGTATACCACTGTACCTGTTCATATCGTAAGGCTTTTGTAAATTTCTAATAATGAAAAATGATTAATTCAATTTACAGGGAGACGTTCAAAGATTAAACTGAGCTAGGCTAGACTCAAAGAGAGTTTGGGAAAATGAAAAGTCGTACGAATTTGCCCAAACCTCAAGACAGCTAATGACTGTTGGAATGCCGTTATTTTCGATCCCCGCTGTAGCCCTTGCAGCGCAGCTCGCCCAGGGTCAGCCAAGACTTCTCCTTGGTCCCACCTGTGTCGCCCAGGTACACCATGCGCACTGGCAGGTAGCGCTTGTCCGTCAGGAAGCCCGAGTCCTCGGTCCAAAACTTGTTGTTCGAGTCGCAGTTGCACTTGAAGAGGGAGTTGACGCAAGAACCTATATGAAAAGAGAGGAGAACGGGTAAATAAGGAATCAGGAGGTTGACGGAAAGAACTAAATCGCAATGTTGTAATATGGAAGCTTCCAATAAATTCCAGTGAAACATTAGCTCTGACTCACCGTCTAAATCACAAGCACACTGTCCACTGTCTGGGGAAGACGGCACACCACCCCAGCTCATCATACGGGTGCCGTCACGGGCGATCCACCAACCGTAGTCCCGCTGGCCTCGTCGCAGCTGGGCCCGGAACAAGACTGCCCCCATACACACGATCTTGACAGAAAAACGAGAAAGGACTACAGACGTGACAAAATCTCACTTGCAGAAAATTATAATGAAGTTCCATTCATAATGATGAAAATATGAGAGAGGTTAATTGCTCTTCCAGCTAGCAAATCCCTCCATAAATGGAACTGAATTCAGTAACATTTGCCATGTCAAGGACATTGATTAATNGAGAAGAACCGCAATCTTTACTATAGACATTGATTAAATCATTTTGATTTTCATAAAAGATAATTGAAAGAATCTGTGCTTGAAAGGACCCATAATTTTGATCCTTTAAATGAAGTAAAAGATATGAAAGTATCTTTCTTATGGACACAAGTACCCTAGATCCTGGCTGGTCTGGAACCGACTCGCTGAAGACCCCTCAGACAGGATAACAACTCTTAGTAGTCAGTTGTTTAGAGGGACCTGGAGTCCATCACTGAACTTTCAGTGGGTGAGACTCACCTTGATATACTGTTCACAACTGGCTGAAGCTTCGGCGAGAGCTTCCAGTTGCTCGAAGTCAGCGTTGGTGTACCGGATCTGCAACTGGAACGATCCCGGCTGTTCATAACCAGAAACTAGGACCGGCTCGCTGTCGTAATTGTGGCCGACTATCGTCACACCTACAAAGAAGGCGTCAAGATGATGTTCGTCATAAATTGTCACACTATAGCGCTTCAGGCTTCGCTACTTGATTTGCTACTGACCGACACAGAGCAGGTTCGTTCGAAGTGATACCAGTTTGATCGGGACGATGCCATTTTGACCAGCGCAGTGCCACTTCGACCTGGATGATGTCTATGAGAGTGGCAAAGAGCTGTATTGACCAGGATGATGCTGTCTTGACTTGGACGATGCCGATTTGACTGGGGAGATACCAGTTTAGCCAGCAAAGTGCCAAAAGAATGGGTACACTCAGTTAATATTGCTGGCTAAACCGACAGGTTACAGAACAATACTGGTTATATAAGGCCGGTGCTTTGGGGAAAAATATTACGGCTTGAAACATTCATGGGTTAAGAATTAAAATTAATTCCATCAGAGCACAGGCATACCAACCTTCACCCCTGGACAACTCGCAGCGTACGTTGAACTCGGGCACGCTACGCAGCCCCTGACCATCGGGGTCAATGACGTATTCGTTGTCATTCCGGTAGCCCATCCGGTAGATCTCGTCACAGGTTCGCGCTATCTGGCCGACAGGAGGCGGCGAGGGCACGGGCTTATTTGGCAGGTTTCCCGGCTGGACCCCAACGGTGTTTGGATCTTCATCTTTATCGGGATAGTCGTTAGAGTTTTGAAAAAAAAATGAGCAGTTAGAGAAGACTGATACTTCAGCATTCATAATCTATCCAAAGAAAGCCATTATTTTGAAGTATGTGTTGTGTTGTGTTGCAGTGTTGTGTGGTGCAGTGTTGTCTGGTGTAGTGTGGTGTGGTGCAGTGTGGTGTATTGTATTGTATTCAGAGCCTTTTCTTCAATGAGCCAGCTGGTCACTCATAGAGCTGTGTTGTCACAAAAGTGAAAATCTACTCAATCCGACTAATGCCAAAGACGTAAGAATAAAGTGGAATTCGTTCGATGGACCACTAATTATATGTTCAAATGTTTACACCTTCGTTTCAATATGGGAAAGAGTTCACCCCCAGACATCGGCAATACAAGAAAAATTAATGTAGTTAGAGCAAAGAAATCAATCTCGTAGTACTTTTACTTCTTATTTTTGACAGGATGTGAATGCGGCTTTAGCATGGCGTATTTGATGTGCAAGCCCCACTAATAAGTAGCAGTGGGTAGTCGGATTGGGTGGATGAGGTCACACGCACACCCACCGTGACCCTCTGCTTAATACCTCTCGCGTAATACCATTATCACTGGGAATTTCGAAGGGCTCCTTGCTGTGACGCATTTGACAGGTGAGCGAGCGTGACTCATCATCACAACGTCGCTTGGAACATCTCCAACATTCAAATCTTGACGAGCAAAGTAAGGGGAACAATAAACGTGTCCGGGTTGTAGTCGAGAATAAGATTGTACGCCACGCCTTAAAATAGACTGAAGACAGTTTGCAGAGTCTTTGTTGTCAGCCAATCAGTCAAAGGTCCTCAGGGCTGAAACAGAACCTCTAGTTTAAATGTAGGGTTCCTCACCTGGTATATCCGGAAAGGCTGGCCCTCCTGAAGGCTCCTCCGGCGGGCTATCCACTCCGAGATCCCGTTCAGCCCTCCTTATCCGGGAGCTGATGCCACGGAGCCGCCTGTCCAGCCTCCGGTAATGTTCCCTCATCCGGTTCCCGAAGTACCTGAAGGTGTCCATCTGAATGTCGGACTGTAGGCCATTCAAGCGGTAGATTTCCCCTAGGGCCGGCTGGCCCCTGCACTGGCCGGTAAAAGTGGCGAGTAGTCCCAGACCAAAGAACATCAACAGGCCAGCTGGTAGCGATAGCGGCTGCATTTTCGCCTGTAACAGAACAGCGATGGCTTTCATGCGTGAAACCGGAATATTTCTTCCAGTGTGTATAAGTTTAATATGTCATGCACGTCTACCCCTTTCCGTTTATTTACATGTAAGGCAACAAATAATTGAACACCTAAGAAAGTAGGCCTACCCACAGAGATCAGGTCGGATTGAAACAACAGACATTATAGAAATTGTATAGTGTATCCACAAACCCACACTATCGCTTTAATAGCAACGGAAAACTTAGGTGCAAATAATATTTGTGAGTGCACAAGAACATTTTGAAAGTGAACAAATACGTAAAGAGTACATAGCATACCAGAAAATGAAACACAATTGAAAACCCCAGAATATGAACACAAACTGCAATCGAATCAGACTGAATTTTCGTTACATCGGTTACCAGCTTTTCAAAAAAACAAACTCCAGAATCTGTGTTGACTACAAATAACAGATGTAATAGGTTTCAGTTTTGTAAATTTAACCGTTTTTCTTTATAACCACATGAAAAGATTGAAATCAGGAAGGTTAGTTATTTTTACTTTTCAAACCTCTCTAGCTCAGGACAACCAGGCGCTAAAACCCAGGAATACTTCCTTTCCCTGCCTTCGTTTCGGATTTATAATTATGACATTTTAAATATCAGTACTACTTCATAAGTCAACACTTTCAACATTAAGAACATTCGCTAACCAGACAGGTTCGACTAAAACCAACAATGATTTACCGCCAATAATAAGGGAAAATTGTGGTGCAAATGACATTTTTGATCCCAAAGAATAGTTCTGAAGTTGAAAATTCATAAAGTATAAAATGCACTCAAAATGAAAGTACAGTTTGCAACCCCCGAATACGATTGCAAACTTGACGTGAAATTAATACTGAACCTTGATATGCTTCAACCTGCAACGGTAATTAACTTTGAAGAACAAATAAAACAGAATATGAACTGGCTTGACAGGTTTCAGTTTCTTTACTTTTACTATACAGTTAACAAGTAAATATATCCTGAGTTTTACATGTACTGTGCGAGCATGAACCACACGAACATGTACATGTACATGTACACTTGCTCCAACGGTCGAGAATTTCCTTGCACCTGTACATGCATGTGTACGCCGCGGTAACAACCCGCGATCGGTTTTGAGCACATAAAACACGAACAGATCGCCCTGCGCAGAAGTATCAAATATAACTCATGGAAGTCGAACCAAAATATATAGCTGCATGTACATAGAAATGATTGTACCGTGTGGTTGAGATTCTGGCCTGTCGTATGCAGAGTCTCACTGTTTTGGGACATCTAAAATTGAGAAATTTTGTGGAAAAAAGACGAAGTGATCGATTGAAAATGGAAATAATTTATCATCTTAGCAACAACTTTCAGGCTAAATTTCAAACTCGTGTCGCGTTTCTTTTCCCAATTCTGTAGTGTTTTATTCGATTTAAGCCTTCTAGGGCACATACAAAGAGTTGCAATCCGTTTACTAACTTTGTGCAAAGAAGTCTTCAAAACGAGAAGGCTCAACAGAGGATTGGCAAGTTGCTAAGGCCATTTCGGTATGGTTCACGAGGGTCCGGCCGTGGGTCAAGTAACCGTCTCCCAAGGTCGAAGTCGTTAATTTCCACACGTTGAATGGGGGTGAAATATACGTGTAGGGCGACTTGTTACGCCCCTTCCCTATACACCCACACACACACAATTTTCCTGCAACCGGGGACCCCCTATTGATCCTCTTTTGTTTTACTTCAACTCTTTTAAAAGACCACCCATATCTTTGTGCACAATTTTTATTCGGGGACCCTATGTGAATCGGGGACCTTATTGTCCTCTATTGTTCAGGGTCCCCGATTGAATGCAAAAACAAACTCACACTCATAAAGTAAAGCTTTTTCTCATGAATTGCATCTACTATCTACATGTATGTACATTTCCATGAAACCCATTACAAGGAATTATGCACAAAGAAATCCGCACAGAATCATTTTGACCCAGAATAAGTAAACTTTTGTTTCATTGTTTCATTTTTCATTAGGAACATGACCCAACACAGAGCCGTTGTGGAAGAATAACAGCATAGATTTAAATACCTGCAAGGAATTTTAGAAAAGGAAATCTTTTGAAAAAAAGAAAAATACTTGAGACTTTATTAATTAACAATCGCATCCTGCGGACACAATGGGGAGGACATAATGGACCGGCGGACACAATGGGGCGGACATAATGGGCCTGCGGACACAATGGGGCGGACATAATGGGCCTGCGGACACAATGGGGCGGACATTATGTTCCGGAACAAACGTACAACATCTGTACAGTGGGACTACAGTGCAGATTCCTATTGAGTACCACATATGCTAGCCGGTGCCAACTGTCACTGTTTATGTCTATCAAAATTGTCCATTGAGAGGCAAGTGAGCACTATAAAATCATAGAACACGCGTACTTGTTGCAGAAGAATATATTATTAAATTTTATTGCTCTGTGATAAAATGAAAGATTCTTCCATTTAGTCATAAAAATCATATCTTCACCGTCATCAAGAATGCTAAAATAGAGCTACACCAGTCTCTTTTTATCTCAGTATTTTTTTCAATATAAATTCAACAAAAGTTATCGAATTACATGTATCTGGCACTTAAAGACTGTCGAATGAGTTTAAGGGGTGTGGTCGAAAATAGCTCCAAATCTGTATCTTCCGAGTGTATGAGAAATCATACAGTGCCACTCAATTTGTAAATACAATATTATCAGCTTTCATAAGATTCAACAACATTGTAAGCTAGAGAACACTGCGGATTTTGATGGTCATTTGACCGCGTTGGACTGTGAAGGCCAGTCTATGTTTGGACGCTGTCTCGAGAGAGTTTGATGTATAACGAGGTGGTACGGTATGACACTCTAACAAGTGGCACCCTATTACCCTCGGCAGTGCGCACCACAGAGGACGTGGCTCTCTCAGGTTGGTTCTGCCTTACCACACCAATTGCCAATAGCCTGAGTGCATGCATTACTTGAAGAACGGAGAACTCTATGAATATACGGTAAGTAGAGCTACTCAGGCTGTGCAGTTTTATTTTTATGTCTTGGCCGGCCCGGTTGGCTATGCTTAAGTATTTATGAAAACGTCATCAGTGACGCCGTTTTTTAAGTTAAATGTAATTGTTCCCCCATGATGTCATCAAGTAGTTACCGAAGAGACGGTGCTGTCGGTCCTGTTGTCGGTGCTGTTGGATAGCGAGAATGTTATGGTTTGTTTAAAAAAAATTGCAACTCCGGTCAGAAAGTTTGATTAGCTTCTACTGAAGTACTATATTTAAGAATGAGTTACAAAAATACAAACTAGGAATAGTTGCATAATTACCCGAGTTTAAGAAATTCCTGTTTGTGTATTAGAAGTCACGAATCATCCAGTCTGGCTGCCGTTTCTGCTTGTTGGAGACCCGAGACAGGTCGACTCCTGACGCAAGACTTAAACGGTGTAGATTGTTGAAAGGTACGGTGTGTTTGGCAAAAAAATGCGAGCTCAGGCACCCCCAAGGGCACGAGGATCTCCACCGAAACTTAGACTAGCCCCAAGCACTTTGACCGTGTTAGCGCCTAAGTATGAACCTTCCATAAACCCACGCACTGTTGATAGTTGTCTGCCTTCCCGGACGGAAGTTCGCAAGCTGCGCCACCCGGTGTCATCCGCCGTGGAAAAAGGAAAGCTTGTGCCATCTGGCCAGACTTACGTCATCCGACTCTCTCTGTCGGATGATGAACCCTCCGCTGCTTGCTTCGATCGACAAAACAGGCGCCTTTCTATTTCTTTCTAGAGACTCTTTGCGCGGTATTGCTTCCTGTTTTGTTTGCGTCTCCACGGCAAGGGAGAGGGTTGAAGGTTGGATCAGAAGTCAAGCCGAATGTGGCCCAGTGGTACAGACTGATCTTCTAAAAATGTTTCTTGTCAACGAAGTCATTCCGCGTGAGAGAGACAGGTTGACCTTTGGGCTGTGAATACGAAGCTATAGAATTCGAACTCAGCGGTTGGCACGCCGACAATTTTATCCATAGAAATACGCATGTTTTGAATTATATCCTGCTTAATAAAAAGAGGCAGCAAAAAAGGGTGTACCCGCGGAAAAGCCTTTTTTTTTGGCTGCGTACAGCAAAGAAAATTGTATAGGCCTACCCTCTGGGCTGTAGAATTGTTACCCCAGATGGGCTGTAGAATTGTTACCCCAGAAATAACCCTTTGAGCTATATTGGTTATATTGTTTGGGCTGGTATTACCGCGTTGGTTTGAAAAGAAATTCCGAATATGTTCCAAGTTGACACTTTCTGTTTTGGGTTTGTTTTTGGCGGATACTCTTTCTACGAGTGAACAACTTTCGAAGATTCCAGAATTCACTCTACAAATCTGACAAAACGTCAGTTTTAAGTTAATTTCAATACAACAGAACTTCAGTCAAGTACAAAACATCGCAGATTGAAATTGTCGCTCATTTTAAGTTTATTCAAAACTCATTCAAAAATTATTCATTGTAATGCTGCCCTGATTTGGCGGAGGCCTATAAAACAATTGCTATTTTTCAGAGCGTAGCCAAGACAAATGTTCAATCTCCGGGATTTGTTTGGATCAGTTCCTCATTTACAGCAACGGATAAATGGAAGTGTTTGGCGTTGGTCCTGTCTCATACATCGAACGATCAGGTCATTAACCGCTTTAAAGAAACGAATGTGTACTTAATGATTATGCCGTAATTTATATATATGTAAATAGTTTATGATGTGACTTCTACAGGGCTGTTTTATGTTTCATATTTTCTGATGGCAACACCACGACCTGATCGATCAATAAAAAAAAACGATACTTGAATGACAACGTTGAAGAGTTTTAAAGATAAATGTATATTTGAAATTTCTTTCTGAAACCGATAAGGCCGAAAGGAAACCTTGGAGATCTTCGTCAAATGGAACATAGAGGAACCATTTTATACTTCTTCATAAAGTTAATGACCCCAAAAGTTTTTCAAGACAAAAGGAGGAAGACAGTTTTGAATAATGCATCATGAGTCATTTTTCTGTATAAGCTTTCTTTCATCTCTTGTTGACCTTTGACACCCAAGACACATCGCCTGATGTTTCAGCTTGGGAAGCTGCAATGAGTACTGACAGCCATCTTTCGACAGTGTGTCCGAGGTGACCATATGTACCACAATTAACAAGCGGTGGGCCTGGGTTGCGTAATTCGTCAGTTCCATTATGAAACAAAGCTCCATCCAATCCGATCATCATGTGAGCACGGACCCTGAGCCACGAATTACTTGTTGGAGGTCGCGCTAGTAGCCTTGGCACAAAATTTTCAGTACAAAACCCGCAACACAGTGTTGACTGAATTCCGAGCTTTCCCTTCGCTTTCAGACAACCTGACATCTATTGCCCTTTGTAGATATATATATATTTCGGTTGCCAGATGGTCGCCAAATCTTGAGACACCTGTTGATATACACGGGCCCTCTGGAGACTCATCACACTCGTCAAAGGTCGCCCGCTTAATCGTCCGTACGTGAGACAATAAATCAAGATCGCCTAAATCAAATCATAGAGCTGCATAAGGCAACTGTATCCATGTTGATCGTGAATAGGTCAGGCGTTAGGGCAGGCATGGTACAGCATTAAAATGGGAATGTCTTTCCCAGCTGAACTAATAAAAATTGTTCTCTCAAACCGGTTCGAAGCGAGTGAAAACACAAATTTGAGAAAGCTTATTGCCTCAGAATACGGGGGTGGGGCCTCAGAATACTGGGGGGTGTTATTTATGTGCAAGGGGGAAGACTGCGAAAAAATATCTCCAACAAAACTTACACGTGTACTCTACTCTTCGTAGTCTACTCTCTGGGTATGATCTTTCAAAGATGATCACCCTGTTAAAACAAAGTTTGAAGCGTATCGCTGAAAAAAGTAATTTGTGGTTTAATGTCACTGAAATTTCCCAGAAGTATTATCAAGCTATCATGATCAGAATCATGATCCTTCACATCCCTCAACCTGTCGTTACTTGCAACGGCGTTGTGAAGTAATTGGCTTATTATACGTACAAGCTTCGTCTAATGCAGGTTTTGTATTAGCACAGCTTGAGGTGTGGGGACAGACATGCGTAGGGTGCGTACTGGTAGACGTGCCTCCCGGGCCGCCACGCAATGGATGCGATGTAATATCGACACAATAAATATCCGCTCTCGCGCGCCCAGTCACTTAGAGGTGTGACCTCGGTAAAGCATATTCTTGGAACCCTCCAACAATTTGTGTTCGCAGGATTCTTCTGAAAGAAAAATGAAAACGAACTGTAACCTGTCGTTATTTTGCCTCGTGAATCACGAAGTCGTCTTACCTGGAATTGGAGGGGTCGGCACGTTTTCCCAGTGGTGTCAGCTAGGCTAAACACCAGATTTTGGGTGGAGATTGTTACGTTTTAATGCTCCCATGCATCATAGTGATGCATCCAAGGTTTCTTCCAAAAATTGTTCCAGTAACAATAGGTCCATCTATACTGGAAAGTAATCAGGAAGTGGTAGATTTGTCCTGTTAATTAACGAAAAGGAGACGATTGTTCGCTTCAAGTTGCACATGCACACTCAGATTGATGTTAACTTTGATTGCTCTTGGCTTCTTAACCATCTCCCTGCCGTGAATTGGGATGACGGTGGCATCACGAGTTATACCTTTGCTTCGAGATCGGGTCACCTGATTGTCTCAGTGTTTTCCAGCAGTGACGTCACTTGATTCAATGATTGTCTCAGTCTTTTCCAGGAGTGATGTCACCTAATCGACTAGCTCTCCTCGGGCAGTATGGCTAGCCTCACAACCACACTGTAACTCACGGTGCTTTTTTGCACAACCGACCATAACTTGAAGAGTGCTTGCCAAACGAATGCCCGTTCATGTTGGAGACAAATTACAAACTTTAATAAATAAAAAAAGAGAAAATTGTCTCGATATCCTCACATTTTGTCCTAACAAACACTGCTACTATGGAAATAAATATTCTTCATTTCAGGCGGGGTTATAAAGAGAGGACTTGAGGGAATGAAAACACTTCGCCTTTTGTCTTTTTTGAGTTACGGAACACGAATACAAAATACCAAACATTCTGTTCTCAACGCCAGCGACAGTGCACCTTCCTCTGTCCAAATTAGAATCACTACTCGAGGGTTCTTATGTCTATCTATTTATAAATGATAGAGTATCATCGATGCTCAATAGCAAATAATTCAATACATGGTTGACATGGTTAGTTGGTTGACGAGTGATAAATACTTGACTTTTCGATTTTTCCACCATTTTACAGTTGATTTAACCCAATTGACAAAATTTTTGTCGTCGTTTCAGAGTATTTAATAGGAAATAAAATTGGACAACTACTGCGTCTGGAAATAAGGAGGCATTCTCTTCATCTGTCCTTATTCGCCAAGAGAATAGGGACGTGTGCTAAAACTGTCCTTACTTTACTTTGTGTTCTGTATTTCGAGCTTGGTCCGAGGCCCTGCGGCAGTCAACAGATGGAGGGGAGTGTAAAAACAAGACATTTAATCGGGATATAAAATAAACATGTCAAACAGTACAGCCATTATTAAAATTGTTTCGAAGGTACCAGCTGCGTTTGTGCGTGTAAAAACCACAAGCTACACTTACCAAGATCTTGTTTTTTTCTTAAAGCATCTAATCGGTAAAACTGTGTGTTTGTGTCATTTCAGCTCTTGAGTACAGAGGTAATACTTCGGGAATTTTTCCAAATTTTTGCCTCTTTCAGCAATTTTCACTTCCCTCTGGGTCATCTGTCATTTTGCAAACAACTACGGTCAAGGATCCATCGTTCTCGACACTTTATTTTCCCTGAATCTATCCTCTGGCTATCCTCTCAAAAATTACTTGATTTATTGATGTCTTCAACATACAGTACGATATGGGCAATTATTGATGTGTGTATAGAAACGTGAAAGGTCTAATGGCCTCTGAACTCTCATCCTCGTTGCTGATTGGTTGAGCGAGCGGTTTGGTCACGTAGCTGCGCAAACAACAGGGAAGTAACAGCGATGAGTGTAACCAGCATTTTAATCGGCTCTATAAAACAACCCTGTGGGTTGCAAGAGGACGAGTGACGAGCGTCGAAACTGTGCTGTTCTGTTGAGATTTTCGGGGTTGGATCTGTCAGGAAAATTAAGGTATTTGTTTTTTTTTTAATTTTGCTTTTTGGCCCCGCGGGGATATGAGATGCCAGTTCCCTTAGACCGTTTTCTGCCACGAGTTCGGAACTTGTTTGAATCCACGTTTTCGAAGCTGCGTGCGAATATTACATTTAGATAAAAGGTAGAGTTACATGTTGACGCTTTATCGGTTGCATTTGCTTGGTCGAGATGCTTCATCGAAGACGTGAGATGGTTCATGAAAGAGAAAATGTAATGCCAGTAATGCAATTGTTACCCTGCGCAGTCGATGTGCGTTTGGGTGTGAATTCATTCATTTACAGGTATTCTGTCAGGCTATATTGTAACAGTACATGTACATGGGGCCCTACATTGCTCGACCTTCAGTGTACGCACTCTATCAAACATACATACATACATGTACACGTATTAAAAGCACTTTTCGGGGTCCATGTGCGTCGTTGTTGAGTTGTTTTGGCCTTTATATTGCGTGACGTTCTTACACTGAGTCACCGTCCGGTTAGAAGCTGTAATAATTTGCGCCTGAATTTAAGCTGATATTTTCATATGCCTCCTCGAGGGTGTTCACGTCGAAAGCTTTTCCGATCTGAGAACTAGAAGTCTCCGCAGAGGGCACAAACGCGTGCTCACTCCTGCGGAGACCTCAACTTAAATGAGCCCCCCTCACGTGTATGTAACTATTCACTGCAATGAATTTCATTGATGCCCGCCGACAAACTCCGGCAGTCTCATTGGATCAAATTAAGTTGATCCATGCGCAGGGTTTTCACATTGGCTCATACGCACGGGCCACTAACTGCCTGCTTAACGAGGTCGCGTGCAGTGGGCACCGAAGAGTTCAAATTGGGACACTTAGAGTTAGTCTGCTTTTCTCGTTATTCTGAACGTATCAGTCATCGTGAAAAAAATTGACCTCAAGCTGGGTCTGTTTTGGTCTCCTATAAAACGAAACTGCTTCTGTGAAATTCCATCGTATCAAGTTCATTGTAAAAAGACACCTTTTTTTCAAAATTGTGATTTCAAGTGGGCATAGTGTTTAGAAGGCAAGAGTTATTCAAAGCAACAGTAAGTAGTTGCATTCTCAGCAGGCATTCTCGAAGTAAATACTCTACTGTTTTCCTTTTTGTCTAGATCGAACTCGTAAAGAAAACGGACCGCACTGAACAAATGGCAGGCCTCATTTTGTGCTGCGTGCTGTTGTTGGCCGGCACGGCCCTCAGCGACTTGGGCCCGGATACCGACCGACTGGTCAATGCCCACTCGAACCTAGCCCGACAGACGTTCGACGTGATCGAACAGGCCTTCGAAGCCCAGCAAGAGACGTTCGACCAGCGGATCGACGCCCTGGAGGCCCGCGTGACCGAGCTTGAGGAGATGATCGCGGAGGGCGTACCAGCTGGACCCGTGGGTAAGTTCTTGTTCTTGGACAGTATCGGGTACAAAGACACCCTACCCCTTCAGGGTTTTGACAGGGACAGATGATGCAAAGTTTAGACTGTAATCATGGATTGAAAGACCTCTCACTAAACTTTTCTGATGAACTCTTTCCGTGGTATATAATATTTCTTTTTTTTCTTTTTTTTCGTTGAACTATTTGCCAGTCATAATTATAGTCTAAAATATCGTTTCGTGCAAAACAGTGCCAAATGAACCGGTCACACACGCACCGCCAATGCAGCCTCAGCCAGAGCCAGAGCCCCAACCCAAACCAGAGCCCGAGCCTGCCCCGACCACCACGACCCAAGCCCCAACAACGGTGAGGAGGACCACGACTCGGTCGACCACCACCACGACACGACCCCCACCGCCTGTCGTCACCACGCCCGAGACTTGCCAGGACTTGTTCGACAGAGGGGAGACCACCAACGACTGGTACACGATCGACCCGAAGAACACGGGCGCACCGTTTGCGGTGTATTGCAACTTCGATGGTGGAGAAGGTAGGTTCCTGACTGGGGCTTCGCGTGCGACGAGAGTAGTTCTTACCCCGCAGAACTTGCGGCTTGATTTTTGCTTGACGTGCAGACATGTGTATTGTTGGAAATTTCCTTCCCTCTGTTGTCCTCATCAACTTCTTGCTCATAAACTCTCCTCCCTGTCTCTTTTTCTCTGTTGTAACATGCAGCCAAGACCGTGGTCCACCACAACAAGGAAGAAGAGGAGAAGAACAATAACAACAAGAACCCAGGCACCTTTGTCTTAACGCCCGTGTATAGAAACGCTGACACCAACCAGTTGGCCGCCCTGACAGATGTTTCCGCTTCCTGCCAACAGTTCATCAAGGTAGGCAATTACAGCATGTGAACGGTAACTGATCCAAACTTTCGGACAGTCACAGAATTGCCTCCTTCTTCAAGGTCGGATCCAGACCCATTTTTGTTGGGGGGGGGGAGTAAGCATTAACTGATCGGACCAGTCACAATGAAGCAGCTACTCAGAAATAATTTCCTGAACAAAATGGCCCTTCCATACTAAACAACCTCCATTTAAGACTCTTAATATCTTCACTCTGACTGGTTGAAAAATCCTCCTTGGTTTTTTTTTTGGGGGGGGGGGGAAGGGGCAGAGCCCCGCTGGCCCCCTAGATCCGCCCTTGTCCTTTGTCTAGCTATGTCGGGATGAAGGTGAAGGTGAGACGAGAACATGCACATGTATTTGCAATCCATCAGAATTTTCTCAGAGTAGCGTTTTACACGAACAAGTTATCCATCTGCCCCAATATCTAGTGTGCAAACCTTTTGTCATTGACGGTGGTGTTTTACCCCACGTAGCTCCGCTGCAAGGCCGCTGTCCTCTTCATCAAGAAGGGCACGGACTACGGCTGGTGGATTTCTCGCGACGGGGAGACGATGCGGAGTTGGGGAGGCGCGCCGGCGTCTGCCGACAGCCGAGCCTGTGCAGGGGGCCGCAGTTGCCGATGCGACAACGTCGGCAAAGGAGAGACCTCCGACGAGGGACTGCTGACGGATAAGGAGTACCTGCCGGTAAAGTCTGTCTACCTGGGTGACACAGGTGGCCGGAAGCAGACCTCCTGGCTGACCCTTGGGGAATTGGTATGCACCGGCAAAATGTAAACACCTTTCCATCCCTTTTCAAACCTGAAATTTATTTTAAGCGATATCGTCAATCATGCCAACCTGGAGGAAATTATCGATCAAATATGTTGCACGTGTCACTCTTCAGATACTCCATTAACTGTTAACGTTTTGATACATTTTTATACATTGACTAATAAGACAGGTCATGATTTAATAAAGAGACTACGTGATGAAGAGATTTGATGGTACTTGAGACGCGCGACAACGGTGTTATTTATAGTTGTCTTTCAGCGCTTCGAAACATGTGGGATTTAGTGGACTTCGATGCATATTGATTTCACCACAGCAAATTCCAAAATGTCACACAGTTGTCTTTGTGACTCCAAATTCAAAGTTACAGCAGATCTCTGTGGGAATAAACTTTTTACAATTTGCTTCGTTTTTTCCGGAAGCACTGTTATATACCTGTAGACTGAATAGCATGCATTATAGTTAGCATCAATACCACGTGTTGCTCTTGCTATTCAAGTAACCCACGTATGTTAATTGTGGAAATAAAGTAACAACAACAACACGTTTCCTTCACTTGTCCTTCATTTTTAAGCGTACATTGTCGTAGTTTATTTTTGTGATCGTCCATTTGTAACTAATTTTTTTTTCACTAAACCAAAATATATGGTAACAGCGTGTGATGAAACGTTCGAAATCTCCCATAGTTGTATGAGTGGATACCCTGATACCCAGGTAAATGTGAAAACAACTTTGATTGATAAGGTCAGTGTCAAACTGCATCACTTGAAAGTTACAAAAGAACCCAGAAATATTTGTGCATCATTATGAAAATTAAGTAACAATGACTTTTTGTGTGTGTGTGTTCGGCATTTTATTAGCACAATGTGTAAGTCTTGGTAAACGAAGTCATGTCTCCACAAGGATACAAATTTCGGAATTGTCGGATTTTAAAACAATTTTCGTGGCTGTTATTTTTCTAAGCTTCTGTATTATAAAAGCATACTTCCACTGTGCGGCACCATGTTGAATGTGTTCCCCACCCCTCATCATTGCCGTTCTAACTGCGTAGGAACAAGCACGGTACCAGCTTACCAGGCTGTGGACGGTGAGATCAATCAGCCTTTGTAATAAACTGTATTCACGGGGGACCCAATTTCAGTCAGATTCCCCAATGTACTGTATTCATTTGAAATTAAGAAATTAAAGAACCAGATTCTTCTACGATTTCATTCCTACCCCCAAAATCACCTGGTACCATCCCATTAAGGTTTTCAAATGTATACAATACGTTCAGGAAAACGACTGAAATTAGGTTCGCTTCGAGCGAATACGGTGCTGATTAATCGTAGCTTGCTGTCAGCATGTCACCAGCTGGTGGAACGGCCACGGTTTCACCAATCCAGCGTCAAGCCCTCTTCATTCTACCCATGCATACAAGGTCTCACCCCCATTTATTGACAAAGAAGGAATGATTTTCTCAGAGCACGATCTCCGTAACAAGTTCACCCGCGTATACCACAGAAAGTTAATGACAATCTCAACAACTTAAATCTACAACAGTGACAAAATAATTTGAAATAATTAAAAAAACCCATAAAAAACAGCTGTCCTAGAATCAAAACCAAAATAAGATTTTTTTATACCTAAAGCTACATGTAGGAGGCCGTTGAGGGGCTGGGTATGGGTACCATTACGTCACAAAGTTTCAATGTACACAGATCCTATTTCCCCACATACATGAACAATGCCTGAGTGGGGAAAAAGGGGAAGAGATTTCCTTCCGTGATGAGCAGGAAAATCCCCAGTGCACCTTTGCACCACTTTTCTAAAAAAAAGTTTTTTTTTCATGGAAAATCTCTTACCTTCTGAACACTGTGACGGTGTAAAGTGCTACAAGAGAGATGTAGGTCGAAGGCCTAGGCCACTCTGATCTGTAGCATTTTGAAGTGGTCTATTAACATCAATAGCATTACGTTATTGCGATAGAAAAGCTTTAAAAAATACAAGTTCTACAGAGGACCAACTGTGTTTAATACTTACTTTTTTTCATAGTATGGAATATGCCTATTGTTTTTTTTTTTTTTAGAAAAGTTTAGTTCAGTTTGTCCCAGTAAGCGTCTTCAACCAAACTATGATTTCAAGGCGTAGCCCCAAACGCGCTTACCGCAGTCCCGCAATAGAAAAGAGGAAACCTGTAGAGAAAGTTTGAAGTGCCACTTAGAAGGACCAAATCTTGGGAAGAGCAAGAAGAACAACACCCCCGGAAAAAAATGTCACTTTGATTATACAGAACTGTTGCACCGCCCTAATGGGACACCGCGGAGAGTCTCGCCATTCCTTTCAAAAGCATATACATTGCAAGGAAGTACAAATACATGAAGGCCACAAGACCTCGACGAAAACATATGTAGAGCGCCCTCTGTTACAAGAATTACAACAATATCGGCGTGAAGAGCAAAAGCCGAGTCATTCTTTTCGGGGGGGGGGGTGGAGGTTATAGCTTCCCTTGCGCCATCTCTGAGGGCCTTAGCAGTATATAGTAATACAAAAAAGGTGTTTCTCAATGCAACAATCAGGTACACATTGAGCAATACGCCTGCTGTGTTTCTTAGAGTGTGATGCAACGGACAATAGACAAAAGCAGATTTTTTTTTTTATTTCAAAGCGAACAATCGCAACACCGCCTACAAGTGACTGCAATTAGCGGAAGGCGTATCCAAACACGAGACGCAAGGATAGCAAACCAATCAATGGCATAATAACTTCTGCGGGACGATTTTTTTTTGTCAAGAACGAATTATTTGTTTACCGAGGAATCGCAGCGAGCTAAGCTCCCCTCTGGCAGGGATTTCTGGTCCCAATCCGCGGTGTCACCTAGCAGTCGATCTCGGTTGCCTAAGCTCGTGCAGTTCAGGGAAAAGTTGTGAACCGGACGTGGTGACACTCTCTGCCCAAGGGAAAGTCAACGCAAATGACTTCTTCCCGAAAAAAAAGGTGAACAAGATGGGGAATTTTTTGACAGAACTTGAAATTTATCTTTACTCAAACTCAGGGCAACAACATCAGTGAAAATTAATATTGTATTTTTGTGAAAGAATTTAAGTATCAGATTTTTTTCGAAAAAAAAAATCAAACTGGAGTAAAAAAATGCAACGAACATTTCCGAGTGAGGGAACTGAGATTTGTTTATTTTTCTCAATGGTGAATCCTTCTTCCACAGATAAGGTAAATTACAGGAATTACATTTACACACACGGGTTGAATTACATACCTGCATATGTCCTCCTGGGGGTATACTAGGTTTCCCCTTTGGATCTTTGTCAGAAGCACTCAAGATTGATTAATTATTATTTTTCTTATTTTTACCGGAAGTAGGCGGTTTACTGGATAAACCTTAATAGAGAAGTCAGAAGCTACAAAGGGCCTTGTGTGAATGAATTCACAATTCAACCCCATCAAAAATAATTTTAAACGGTCAGATTTACAGCATGTTAGGGGGTGATAAAATTTTCGGCAATGATATACTACTCTGAAATACCTCAGCAGTTGGCTTATTTCTGTGAAGTACTCAAACTAATTGTGGGATAAATTTGAAGAATAATTTTTGAGGTGTTCAGTCGCTCTATGTTTTTACTGTACCTGTTTCTAGGCAGTGAACCGAATAATGAATTGAGTAAATTGTTCATGACGTAGATAATCTCATTTAGTGCGTCTTTCACGTGGTAGCGATCTGTGGAAAGACGTACTGCATTCATGAACGGGTATGACCGAAATTGGGAGAAATCCATCACAATCACATGCTCTAAATACACAATCTAAAGCAATATTCAAATGAACGCTTTACGAAATCCCATAAAACATGGTATTATTTTGGGCAACCATTTCCCTGACAGGTCGGAGATCTTGCCTGTTTCCTGAAGTGTCTCCTATGGTTTCACCACGAAATGAACTGCGTAATAATAAGGCACTGGGGGAACCAAGAACTGGAATGGCTTTCGATTGTTAAATCACCTTCTGTCCAGATGTTATAGCCAATCTAAGCTGTTGGTCAGATACAAATATTCATCAGGTTGCTGATTTGTCGATGGCTGTCAGCTGACTCTGCCGCTTTAGGTAGACGCCTCCTGATTGGTCACAATATTGGATTTGAATAATATGATTCTACCAATCGCACACGTCACATTCAATGTACAAACACCTTTTCCATTTAACAGTCACAGGTACATTCCATTAAATTAAATGTGGTTGGCTATCTCCTTTTTTCAAGACCAAGCAACCTTATACCCGTTTGAGAAAAGTGACTGACGGTACAGTCACAACCATCCAATTTGAAAGTACAGGAAAGGAATATAAGACTTACACGTCATGCAAAAGTAGAAAAGCGTGAGCTTGTTGTCGAAGGTTTGCGTTAGCACCATCTCTTTTTGCGTAGGGCTTATGTGTGGTTCTGAAAAGAACCGGAGGGTATTTCATCATGAAAAGCTTCAAAGCTCTTAAACTTAAAGAAAACTCTGCTGCATCGTGGAGATTAAGCTCTTCCTCCGGCATCAATGAAGCCCGACCAAGTCCTATAATTTTAAGCCTGAGAGAACAGCGCGACTGTCGAATGTGATTCCACAACGCAGTCATAATTTGAGTGTAAACTTTACACTCATCACCTGCAGATATTGACATTTTCAAAGATTAACATCTTGAACTAATACAAAGGAAAAAATATGCATTGCACATGTGCATTTACATGTGGCAAGCGGCTACCCATATATCACGTCGATACAGAGTTAACTTCCGCCTGGTTTCCCCAAGAAATTATAGATGGTCTTGGCTGCAGGGACAAGATCAAATGACCAACTGGTACCCACGCATCGCGGTGGTTAGAGCTCGGCGCTGCCGGCACCAGTGTATCGAGCGCACCGCAGCTGCTCGTGCATAGGGGTTACTAACCAGACTATTGGCGCTCTGCGGGACGGAATCCCCGTTAAATCCGTCCTTATTCTCAGGGATTATACTGTTTTGTAGTTCACCGTAGTCATCTCTGCAGGAGGTGAGGTTCAAAGCAAATGGCCGAAGGCGCGAAACGCGGTGATTTAGGTCGTGCGCCCAATAACGCGAAGTCATTCCGGTCATTTCAGTCTTCGTACTCATTACTGATTCAAAATTCCTGGTAGTGTGTGCTTCTCAGCAATTTATTGCTAAACACTCACCAGATATAAGTACTGTCTACCCGAAAAGGCAAATGTAAGCTTGATGTTAAGTTTAAAAAAAGGAAAGACAGGGAAGTTCTGAATAAATGAAATGTACTTAGGTCTATAACGTCAGTTCTGTAGTGCGGTTTGTTCGTACGTTATCTTAGAAATTTGATTTATTCCATTTCTTTTCCCAGGGTATGCCCAAACAGTTACAAACTGGTTTCCATTCGGGCCATTGCGAACATTACAAATTAATAAAATTGTGTTAGAAACTCACGACGAAAAGTAAAATTGGCCAATACAACAAACATTAATATTTATAAATACAGACCACTAAAATATCACACATGTGAACATTTAATAAAATTAAGGCATTAATTAAATACTGATCACGGGATGTGCAAAAATCCCGCAAAAACCCCTATGGGAAAAAGAACACGGGGAAATTCCCGATCCGGCTCCAATGAATATTGGCAACCAAGTCAACAACTCCACAGATCAGCATGTGGGACTACACGGCACCGGTCATGGCTTTCCGTAGTTCTGATTTGAATGCCCCCTTAGGAGTCTATACTTCTGAGTTGCTCTGGCAAATTGTTCCGTGTTTTTGCACCTTTTGCTTGTCACTGACTAAAGCTCTGGACTATCCACCTCAAACAGAAGCACCCCTTCGTCGGTTGAAAAGAGCCACGTTGGTTGGGTGTGTTCCGTTTGTTGGTAGCGATGCGACCGTAACGCGTTCATTTCAGAGTCGTTCGTGAACCAGCGAAGTTCACTTCCGGCCAAAGAAAACCCCTTGCTTAGAAACTGACTGCGCCCTCTCTTTGTCCAGCTCGAGGCTCATATCCCGAAGTCAGTCTTCTTTATAACGAATATCCTCGCTCTATAATCCCGGGGTGCAAGTGAGAATGTGGCATCCATCTTCAGACAGAAAAAGTTGCAGGAACCGGCAAAAAGGTATCAAGCAATTACATCTGCAACATGGCACGAGACCCTCCGTCCATGTCTGTTCTCACCAACTGCACCGTGAGGGATTAATAATGAATAATTGTGTCCGGCATTTCAATGCTTTAGTAATCGGCCATACTCCCCATTGGTCTGGTTGAGATGTGAATTACCTGTAACCGTCACGTGACATCTGAGCTGGTAAGCAGCTCTTTTTCAGCAGATAATGTTGTGTTTGTTAATCAGAGCATGCGCGTCATCACCTGACAAGTTGCAAATTTTAAACTGTATTTCTCGGTACCTACATTTCGTTGCGCCACAGCAACTTATTTCATGCGTCGAACGTTAAGCACAACCACTTGACGTCACTTTAGGGGTTAATTTTAGAATGCACTTAATACAAGACATACTTCAAGTTCATATCCGACGCGGCCATCAAGCGTTGCAATAATTTGTAAGGTACAACCGTACAAGGTTCCTTTTACGGATCGGTAATATAACAAGTGTACGCAATGAAATGGATCGCAGCAGCTCCTCTCAGGATGGACCATGTACACTCAAAATTGAAGAGACATATCCGTGTACAGTATCGGGAGCAACGACCGAAGAGCGGTCTCCACGGCAACGAGGTTCACCTGACGACCGCCCCATCGACGTGATCCTGGTGACCATTCAGCGCAGGCGGCGGGGGCGACTGCTCCACTGCGCTCCCCTCACCGCCCTACACACACACTCACACACAACTGTCCCGCCGCACCAACTAACTTCAGCGTCAGCGCCAGTTGGAGCTGGAATCGCACACCGACTGCCCGCTATGATGTGACCCTGTTGTCGCGTCGCACCCTGCTTTAATAGCTGCAAGTGTTGTTCTTGGATGAAATTAAAATCTGGGAGTAGGGTTTCCACCATCCTCTGATCGCACACCGGGCTGGCAAAGTTGGAGTCATTAACTGAGAAAAAGTCCTACTGTTTCTCATTGTCACTTGCTAAAGCCGCAGCGGGCGTGGGCACGTCGACTGGTCGGGGCCTTCCTTGAAATGCCGAAAATGCAAACAGAACAGAATCGGTGTCGCCCTCCCTGCGGTCATCTTATACTTCATTACGATTACCGCAGGATCAAGGCACCAATTGCTGCCACGCGAAAGTCTTCACTTGATAAGATGCCGAAGAGAAGCACTACAGGGCTACCATATGCCTCTATCACTTCTTATCCATGAGTCAGCGGGAAAGGTGTTCACTGTGTTTAATATCTACCCTCAACGATATTGGATACCGGTGTCTGTTATTGCCCTTGCTGGTTTTCTTTTGTCGATATGGCTACCAGAACCAGCACGTACGTCCTAAATGCTTCTTATGCCTTCTCCATGTACGACAGCTTATTCGATGCCAACGTCACCATGGACTGCTTGGACCTGCTTCCCCCCTTACCGTCTCCCATGAAGGTCTTCCTGCTGGTGACCTTCGTCTCGGTGACCGTCGTCTGCGGCGTGGGTAACTCGCTGCTCTGCTTCATCGTGCTGACGCAGAAGCGTCTGCGGAGCGTGACCAACCTCTTTATTACCAACTTGGCCGCCTCGGACCTGCTAATGGCCGTACTCAGCGTGCCTTTCACGCTGCACTACTACCTCCACCAAAACTGGATCTTTGGGGCTTGGATGTGCTCCTTTGTGGGCACGGTCAAGTTGGTGTCCATTTACGTCTCCATCAACACCCTCTTGGTCATTGCAGTCGACAGGTGGGTTCCTCTTCTCCATTCAAGTAGCATTCGATGTGGTTTATGTTATTGAAATAATGGAGCGGGAATCTCGTCCTAGGTACCATTGTAACTCCTGAAGTTGCTTTTGTCTGAACGCTGACTTTTCATTTAATAATTATGATTCTACGTGATATTCTGTCTTTATATGTTAAGGGAATGAAGCATAAGATATTTCAAAATCAAGTGCATATCCTTCAAAGGTCACTTTATACATTTCCTCATGAGAGGCAAACCACAGAGCTTTTGAAGTTCTTGGCTTTGCTCTCGTGAGTTGTCAGTTCTGACTTTATGACGGAAGTAAAACGGTTTAAAGTAAGCAAGTCCGAGTAAAATGGGAGACAAGCAACGATCTCCGTGATGACGATGACCCGAGTAAGCTTGAGAATTTTTATCGGAAGCTCTCGAATGAACGCTGAGTATACGGTGTTTATTAACGCGTCGGTGTTACGGCAAAAAATGACGAAAGACCTGCTCTTTTTAACGTTCCATTCAGCAGAATAGCTACTCTTCTCGGACACTGGAAACTGTGTGTTGTCACTACTTACTCAGATACAAATTTATAGCTCAGTGCATGACATTATTAAATTTTGTACTTACCACTTCGCAAGTTTACTGATTCTTCAAGCCTACGGCGATGAGATTCAAACTGCTTATGGAAATGCAACACATTGAAAACACACACAGCAGAAAATGAAATACATGTATATAGAGCGTAACGTTTCGACTGAACTATTTTTGGACCAGATTGAAGATTAGGTTTACACACTGCGTGAACATGACGTATTATCCTCCTTTCACCAAAGATTCTTGATAATGAGAGCGTGTATTCCACCTACTCTCGTTTCTAATAAGACCCGCCGGTCTCATCACCTTGATGGATGTTGCTTTCAATAAAGTACCACTCATAGCTACTGCCTCGAGCCCGGTCTGCTGGAGATGCCTGGGAATATGGGGAACAAAAGGTGAATATGTTCCCTTGGCTGAATCAGTTCTCAGGCTATCGAGTCATTCACCCTGTCGAGTCGATATCTGGTTCAGACTCGCTCAACATGCCCAACGAGCCGTTCAAAGTTGGTCGAATCTGGACTGTGATATCAAGTAACTCCGACCGGTGCCATAGGCCTACACCAACAGGTTTTGAACAAGGTCATCTTGCAGTATTAGAGTTATGTTACCCGTAAATGATAAACGTTTTATGAATGTCTGTCTTTCAGATACCCCATGACAAGTGACAGCAACTCTCTTGTACCGAATATTGACACATTTATCTCTAGGAAGTCCTTTTTTTGGTGCACCATCTTACAAATGGACGGGGGGGGGAACCCACCCCTTTGACTCCGTTTGGGCTAAGGCGAAGTTTACCGGTACTGAAATTTAGCGTGTATAACATTAACCAGAGTAATCAGCATTTCACACCACTCTTTCCTGTGCTTGGCCAATGAAGGAATAGCCCCTTTCGCGGGATCTGCGTCAAATTTGACATTTCCCGAGGACACTTTCCACGTTTCAGGTATATCGTCACGCTACGACACATAAAACACCGGCACTGTAAAATGAATATCACTGATATATCGAACAAAATGTGCGGATTCAGCCTGCGGTCTTTGTAGGATTGAAATTGATTTTGGTGTTGCATCCTGCAACACGGATAAGGGTCGTTTTATCTTCCTGTTTAGCTTACCCGTGAGTGTCTGTCGGGTGATATGTGAGATACGAAGATAAACAGAACGCCTTTCAAAAGTACAGTTATATCTGGATTGCTTGCATTTATCGGGAAATACAATAAGGAAGTCTTGCAGAAGCTGAGATGTTAGATTGACGCCAGTGATAGCTCGGAAGATTCACAATTGACCACAGAAGAACTGCATTATTTAGGTCTACTTTCAGATTCGTGAAGTCAGGAGGCTTCGAAAATACGTTGGATAATGATTTTTTTGTACTGGTTTGATCGATACGCTTACATCCATCACTTGTTATCACTGTCCTGTAAGAAATTGTGAACATGTGAAATATGATAGGCTTTTACCAGGGTCTTCTTACGCGACCACTCCGTTTAATACCAAGAAAAGCAACATAAAACAGGATGGCATCTGCGGCTATTGACACCAGTGCTTGAACAACTGAAGTCACTGCGTTTACGCACTGGCTTGTGCATGCACGCGCGTATGAAAGGCATTAAATTGTACAGATCGGTACATCTTTGTCGCTTAATCTTAGTCACAGCTGCAGACAGTTTTGCTATATTGTCTTATATCGTATCTTATAACTGTGATTTCTAAGATGACTGTGCCATTCTACATTTCGGAAAATTAATCGGGCTTAAGTGTTCAGCAACTCTACTGACGGCTGGCATAAAAGTCATAAATTTGCCAAAGGTGCCTTTAACCCTACAACAACAACAACAACAACAACAACAGAGCCTAAGTGTGATTATATTTTGAGGCTTCCTTCATATCTTAGTCTACCTCGATACTAATGGTCAACATTCCCCAGAAAACCTGCTCTCAACAAATGTCTAAAGCAAGTGCGCATATAGAAGTTATGCGAGCCCCTACCTTAGCAGCCAATCGGATCTACTTTTGGAAATAATTATGACATAGTTTGTGAGACAAACCCCGAGCGCAACCAAAAGAAGGCGCAGCAATGAAGGTTCGTTTGGTGGGAACTGCACTTCGCTGTTTAGAGAAGGAATATGAAATGCACGCGTTACGGTCGTGTCGCTATCAACAAAAATGAACATTCCAAACCAACATGGCTCTTTTCAACCTATAAGGGATGCTGTCTGCTCAAGGCGGATTTAGGTTGTTGATTGATGATTTCTTCATTTCTGGGCACTCACAAGACTGAAATTATAAACAACGCAGACGGCAGACTGGAAAACAGCGAAATCCACTGTGTAAACGAGCAATAAGTTTGCTCAAACCCACACTGACTACAAAATGTGACAAGCTGCCAAAATGTAAGTGCCCAGCCTTCCATTGAGGTGATTGGCCTTGGTCTCGACGGTAACAACGGTACCGCGTAATCGACCGCGGATTGGTCACAATAGCGGCACTCTGTAGGCGGGAGATTACTTAAATAAGAACCACCGAATTGGCATATCATTTTGTTGCTGTGCAGAAAAGAGGCATCTCCCAGATGAAATCTAGCTGCAGTCTCCGCACAGAATTAACAAAACGATAAAGCTCCATGAGCGAAAGGATGTTTGTACCTGGTCCCTTCAGCTGCCTCGTAGCTACTGGCTGATAACACGAGGGACTCGCTAATGCTACGCCAATAGCATTGGCCCCCTCCAGGGCGATTTTGACATGATTCATTTTGGCCCATGTTCAAGTATTCTCCGGCTCGTGCACGGATAACCCAACCGGAGGCGTTTACAACTCCCCCGCAGACGTTTTCTCATTGTTTTCCCTTTCCGTTGATCACTAAAGCTAGTTTTGGTATAGTAAGACCATTTGGCGGATTCACAGGCACTCGTGGGGCTTAAGATCGCCTGAATTACTTTCCCACTTTTCAAGTATTTGGTGTGAAGACTTGAATTTCTCAGGAAGAAGAGGACCCCGACATGTTTCATTATGCACGCAATCGGGGCGAGTAATCAGTCTGGTGCTGAGACCAATGTACAATCTTTCGTGCTGTACTGATTAAGTTCGAAGTATTACTCTTTGCATGAGTTTCTTGATTACCTTATTAAAGTCTAATATTAAAGCTTCTGCATGGAATGCATCTTTTCCAGTTCAGATCTTGAATATGTACAATGCCTCCATTGACCTTACTTTCAGTTTTGCTCCAGCTCATAGTGACGCTACTTCGATCCCTTGATTCGATTTATCATCGTATTGCTTGTGTTTTTCGAGGGAAGGTTTAAGTATGCCATTATACAAATAACGCAATATTGATGAATGCAATGGCAAGAACTATTTCATGACGTAACATGGAATGTTTCAGTCTACGAGGATGAGTCGAGTGCGCCGGTGCTGAACGTTAAGCCGAATAATCACGTGACGCGGAGTCAGAGAAGCGCCAATAGGAAGGTTGGATTTATTCTCACTTTGCACTATTATTAGCAATAATAACAATGTTTGTGATCGTGCAACAATCGTACAAACTGAATACCAGATAGCATGCAGAAGCCGTGCGTATGCAGCGTTACTTTTCATCGGGGTTGCTTCAAAGTTCAGAATTGTTAAAAATTTTAATACAGTTAAATTTCGACTATTGTAAAACGAACAAACAAACAAACAAACAAACACACAAAACGATTGTGCCAGGAATCTTTTTATTCACTCGTGAAACTGTAGTTCCGTTGGTGCACTTTATCAAAGCGCCGTAATCCGACACTTACGGTGCGGATGTCAGTAATTTTTGGACCATAAAAACTTTCTGCCGAAAATGTGAAAGTTTGCCAGACCGATAATGTAGTAGTTGACTCAGTGACAGCTGAAACTATGGCGATTCGTGAAGGAAAACCTAAGTTTAAATATACATGCATTTATTCCAAACTGTGTATACCTGTTGGCGTTTGACATTCACTTTCTCATCAGGATGCCTCAAAATCTCCGTTTAATATAACTCAAGGCTTTCACATCCTGTGCAAAAACAACCTCTGATTTTGAAGCGAAAATTCAAAATACAAATCAGCATTCATTTCCTGTTTACTTAATATTCTGTTCTCGTTGCTGCGACTACTCGAGGGGGAGAGCAAAAACTTGAAACGTCGCGTTGCGTTTACTCACGGAAGTGAAACGCACTCGTTCCTTTCTGAAGTTGTAAGAGAGGCTCTCAACTGTATACGCAACTGGGGACTTCTTATAGGCAGGAGGGGTTGTTTTAAATATTTAATTGCAGAGTTTGTTCAACAACGTAGGTCTGCAGGTCCAGCGAATTGAACTCGCCCAGACAACTAGATATGGACGCTCAAGACATAGGTTGGCTGACGATGACGCGCCAATGTGACTGAACTGACATGATGAAACTCC